CAGGCCTTGTTTAAAATTGTAATTGGCTTTGAGATTGGACAAAGGTTGGCTTTCGTGATTCTGTGAAGGTTAGTAATCAAGGTTTTAAAAAAATCTTAATCTGTAAGTGTATGTATAGTTATACAGTGTATGGTTCAAATGGATTATTATGATTGGTATTGGTTGTTGTGATTGCGTTAATTGCTATGGTTGCTGTGATTGCTGAAAAAATATGTGCAACTAAATGTATTTGGCTAGTAAATGAGAAAAAATATGTGCAACTAAATGTTTTTAAGAATGAAATTCGTTAATTATGTTTATTTTGAGTTCAGTTCTTCTCTTGAATTTTAAGTTCTTTATTGCCTTGTTTCAACTTCTTGATGTATTAAAAAAAATTGGAAATTTTTATTTTAATCCAAATTATATTACTTGGAGGAGGTATACAATGTACATACATGCTACTTGGTCTTCCAATGTAATCTTGACATTTGTCTCAATTTTCCTCTGTTATTTCTACATCATAATAAACCCATATTCTCTGTTTACTCACGAGTTCAAATAAAATTCTCAATTTGGTTTACTTTCCTATTTTTGGCATCAGGTTTTACCATAATTGAAACTTCTTGTGACATTATCTTTGACTATCAAGTGAGAAAGATCCAAACTTGAATTTGGGAAATTTAAAGTAATAATTGGAGGAAGACTTGTAATACGGAAGAGTAATGATCTCCAACATAGTGTTATTGTTAGTATAGGAAGCAAACTTGACTTTGATAAATTATTTGAGATTTTTATGAATTTATTATGATTTTTAGAAATCAATACACATGGCAGTGCCTGATGGGTGTGTCATCAGAGTTTCCAACAGGTATCGTTATCCCGTAGCTCCACGTGTCATTAATGTTTTATTTTTATGAGTTATTGTTGAGCCAATTCTTAACAACTAAAATGAGTTGTTAAAAACAACAACTTTAATTCTCGCAGGTGCACGAACCGTTTATAGTATAGCTTATGTAAATACAAGGTCAATCCCATGAAGAATGGTAACTTGATTTCAAGTTAAATTACTTAGAATGCTAGAAAAACATAGAACAAAGAAACTGACTGAGTAGCTAAAGGCAAGGTCGAATTCAACAATGCCTCTTGCTAATTACTCAAGGTTTAGGACAAAATACTAGCACCACACACGCACTCGAAATGGGAGGTTTTGTTGTTGAAATGAAAAGAAGAAAGTGAAATGAAAGTCCTCGAAAGTAAACACTTGACCGATTGTGAAACAATAATTGAGAGGTGCTAGAGCCTTGGAATCCACCACTAGTTTTTCTACCCAAGTTATGAATGCAAAGAAATTGATTCAAGCTTCATCAACAATAGATTATCGCATACAAGCATATGGTATCTAGGTGCAGGATGCATGATTCTCTTAAGGCATGTGATTATGCATGGTATCTACACAACACGTGATCTCTAATATGCAACCTGAGCATGGTATCTACTTAGAATAAAGCATACAAGAGTCATTAAGCTCATTGAGAATATGATAATCACACAAGTCCTAGAACATGGTATCTGTCCTAGTCAATCTATGGTTATTAACTCCTTGAATGATTCTTAGGCCATTCATATGTTGCTTGTGAAAGGAGAGTAGAATTGATGAATCTAAACACCAACATGTGCTAGATGCATAAAATCCTAGTTAGCTACTCCAAGAAAACATATATCAAGCACATAATAAACTGGAGATTAACAACTTGATAATGAAAACAAGGAAATCAATTAACTATAAAATCATCCATAACATTGAATATTCATGACTAGGGCTTCATCCTAAGCCCTAATTAAATGAATTAGTTAAACATAACTATGAATACAGAAAATAAGAAATACATAGATAGGATATAAGAGAAGAGAATAACTAGTTGGCCGCAATGTAGTTCCCAGGATAGCTCCAAGCTCTCATCTCTCTTTGTGGTGAATTTGAATGTGTGTATGAGAGTAATGGATGAAGTGAATGTGTGTGTCTGCCCTCCTACTTTGAATGAGTGTGCAGCTCTCTATTTACAGAGTGCAATTTCTTCCTCCCATTTGGCTGGTGAAGCACACCTCTCTTAGCTGCTCCCAACTGCTCCAACTGCCCATACTTGCCAACTGCTCCAGCTGACATACTTGCCAACTGCTCCAGCTGCCAAATACATGCTTTGGTATGGTTTCTTTATTGAAAGCTTGACTTTTGTTCATCTTTCTGAGTTCCTGAGCTGATTTGACTCTTATGTGTGGCTGCCCATGTGTAGCACATGGCTCTAGGGATGTAGCCACATTAAATGTGATGATAGCCAACATGACATTTCTGTGAACTTGGTTCAGTCTTTGACATGCTGAGGGTTCCATATTTATCCAATTGGGCTGAAATTTGGATATGTTATAATAGACACCCATTGGAACAACTTCTATCAAGGATGTCTCCTCATTCAACCTGTGTAAGTTGCTGAAATGAGACCTGCAAGATGACCTATGAAACTAAACTGACAAGGAGTGTGGCCCAAATTGGGTTTGTCTTTAAGCTCATATTCCTCTTATCCCAATCAGCCCTTAACAAGCATGGATTGCATCAAATGTGATCTCTTACTGTCTTAACCTACAAAACAAACAAAAAGAGGTAAGTGACTCAAAATAAAGAGAAACTAAGCAAAGTCATAAAGTAAGGAAGGCATGCGAATGTATGAAATTATGAACTTATTAGTTATCTTTAAAAATTCTTGAAAAGTCATTAAAAAAAAATTAGAAAAATACACCGAAAATGTCTAAAATTTCCTTGATGCATGATCTTCAAATTTGATGCGTGAAAATTGAAAATTGACTTTGGAAAATTTGAAAGAATAATTGGAGGAAGAGTTATAGTAATGAAGATTAGCGATTTTCAACTTAGTGTTATTGTTAGTATGAAAGAAAAGTTGAGTTTAAGAAATTATTTAACTTTTTCTCTAAGTCAAATTTATATTTTACAACTAAAAAGATGAAGAAAATGTTGCAAGGAGTTTGTGGAAATTTTCGGTGAATTTTTCAGATTTTTAAAGAATTAACTATGATTTTTGGAAGTCAAAACATTGTAAAATAGTAATAAATGGAAGAGAATGACACATGGTAGCGCCTAAAGAGTGCATCGTCAGTTTTCCAGTGGGTGTCAATTTCTCATATCGCCACGTGTCATTAATGTTTCCTTTTGTGAGTTTATCTTAAAAAATTCAAGAAAAATCATTATAAAAAAAAAAATTCAGAAAAACACATAAAAAAAATTCTACAAATTCCTTGCAACATTATCTTTGACTCTAATGCGTGAAAATCAACATTTGACTTTCAGAAATTTGAAGTTATAATTGGAGGAAGAGTTATAGTGATGAAGACTAGTGATCTTTAACTTAGTGTTATTGTTAGTATGGAAGCAAACTTGAGTTTGAGAAATTATTTGAATTTTTCTCAAAGACAAATTTATATTTTACAATTGAAAAGATGAAGAAAATGTCGCAAGGAGTTTGTGGCACTTTTTGTTGAATTTTTCAATTTTTTTAATAATTAATTATGATTTTTGGAAGTCAAAATATTGTAAAATAGTAATAAATGGAAGAGAATGACACATGGCAGTGCCTGATGGGTGCGTTGTCACTTTTCCAACGGGTGTCAGTATCACATAGCGCCACGTGTCATTAATGTTTTATTTTGTTAGTTTATCTTAAACAATTCACGAAAAATCATTAAAAAAATTAAAAAAGACACTGAAAATTTCTACCTATTCCTTGCAACATGACATTCGACTATGATACTCAAAAATCAAAATTGTCTTTGAAAATTTTGAAGTAATAATTGGAGGAAGAGTTGTACTCATGAAGACTAGTGATCTTCAACTTAGTGTTATTGTTAGCATGGAAGCTTTGTGAAATTATTTGAATTTTTCTCTTAGTCAAAATTATATTTTTTAAGTCTTAAAAGATGTTGGAAATGTCGCAAGGAGTCCAAGGTATTTTTTGGTGAATTTTTCAGATTTATTATGATTTTTGGAAGTCAAAATATTGGAAAATAGTAATAAATGGAAGAAATTAACACATGGCAGCACCTGATGGGTGAGTCGTTAGCTTTTCCAACGGGTGTCAGTATCTCCTAGCGCCACGTGTCATTAATGTTTTATTTTTATGAGTTTATCTTAAAATATTTACGAAAAATTATTAAAAAATCAGAAAAATACACCGAAAATTTCTACATATTCCTTGCAACATTATCTGACAGGACCCGACCCAAATTCCACTTTGGAATCCGAACCGAACCCTGTTCGTGATCGACACCTGGCGGGTGCCGAGCACAATTGACTTGGTTACCCTTTTTTGATTAAAAACTTAATTTCCCTTAAATCCTGACTTCTACCGAAAATTCGGCAGATTCTCCCTTGTAAATCAAACGTTCCCAAAATTTACACTTGTCAACAAGCACTTAAATATATATACACCAACTGCCAGTAAACAAAAATTATGTTCCAACAGTAAATCCATTCCAGGGCAATATCAGAGCAACCATACAGGTTTATTTACAAAGGAGGTAACCACTTGTGAACCAAGGAACCCTACATCAAAATGGGGAAGAGTGGGAAATGCCCTGTGGTGGCTCTCGGATGCACGTCTACAACCTGGGGGGCGCAAAACATTAAAAAGGGGAGTGTAGCAATACTGTAGCACCGACAAACTTTAAAATTCCCACTACGTCCTTTTGGTTTCTAGACCTTTCCTCCTTCGTTACAGCTCGGAATCGAGCGTGCCGCATGTCTACGAACTCGTTTCGTTGCTCTCAACACAACGGTGCAAACGAGATTCCTAGATTCTTTTTCCTAAAAAAGTCAACTTTTTCTTTACTAAAATAGTCTGAGGGCAAAAGTGTCCTTTTCCCTTAATAAACTAATAGTTAAATATTAATTAAGGTTTGGGTTGTTACAATCTCCCCCCCTTAAAAAAATTTCGTCCTCGAAATTTACGTACCTGTCACTTGAAGAGGTAAGGGTACTGTTCCCGCATTTGGTCCTCAGGTTCCCATGTAGCCTCTTCCACAGTATGACTTCTCCACAAGACCTTCACAAGTGGGATCTCCACATAAGTCAAATCTTCTTGCAATTCTGTTGGTTGTTCCTCCAAAACATGAGAAGGATCAGAAATGTACTTCCGGAGCATTGAAACATGAAACACATCGTGCAACCGGGAAAGATCTGAAGGTAAAGTAAGCCTGTAAGCTACTGGGCCAACACGCTTCACGATTTCATAAGGCCCAATATAGCGAGGACTTAGTTTTCCCCGCCTTCCAAATCTCATTACACCCTTCCAAGGCGATAACTTCAAAAATACCCAATCACCAACCTCAAACTGAAGGTCCTTCCTTCTATTGTCCGCATAACTCTTTTGTCGGTCTTGGGCTGCTTTGAGTCATTCTCTAATTATTTTCACCTATTCCTTTGTCCGTTCAACATCATTGGACACCTCCAATATGTTCTCACCCACTTCATCCCAATAGAATGGAGTTCTACACTGTTTCCCATACAAGGCGTCATATGGGGACATCTTAATTCTCGCCTGGTAACTGTTATTATAGACAAATTCCATAAGTGGCAACTTCTCATCCCAGTCACCTCGAAACTGTAGGGCACAGGTTCTCAACATATCTTCTAAAGTCAGGATTATCCTCTCACAAACAATCATTAAAAAACAGAAAAATACACCGAAAATTTCTACAAATTCCTTGCGACGTTATCTTCGACTATGATTCTCAAAAATCAAAATTTCACTTTGAGAAATTTGAAGGAATAATTGAAGGAAGAGTTGTAGTGATGAAGACTAGTAATCTTCAATTTAGTATTATTATTAGTATGGAAGCAAACTTGATTTTGTGAAATTATTTGAATTTTTCTCTAAGTCAAAATTGTATTTTTAGTCTCATAGGATGTTGGAAATGTTGCAAGGAGTCCGTTGTATTTTTTGGTGAATTTTTCATTTTTATTATCAAATTATTGTGATTTTTGGAAGTCAAAATATTGGGAAATAATAATAAATGGACGATAACGACACATGGCAGCGGCTGATGGGCGTGTCGTCAGCTTTTCCAACAGGTGTTAGTATGCCATAGCTCCATGTGTTATTCATGTTTCATTTTTGTAAGTTTATCTTAAAAAATTCACAAAAAATCATTATAAAAATCAGAAAAATACACCGAAATTTTTTACAAATTCCTTGCAACATTATCTTCAACTATGATACTCGAAAATCAAAATTTAACTTTGAGAAATTTGAAGAAATAATTGGAGGAAGAGTTGTAGTGATGAAGACTAGTAATCTTCAACTTAGTATTATTATTAGTATGGAAGCAAACTTCACTTTGCGAAATTATTTGAATTTTTCTGTAATTCAAAATTGTATTTTAAGTCTCAGAAGATTTTGGAAATGTTGCAAGGAGTCCGTTGTATTTTTTTGTGAATTTTTCAGATTTATTATCAAATTATTATGATTTTCGGAAGTCAAAATATTGAAAAATAATAATAAATGGAAGATAATGACACATGGCAGTGGCTGATGGGCGTGCTGTCAGCTTTTCCAACGGGTGTCAGTGTCTTATAGCTCCACATGTCATTCATGTTTCATTTTTGTGAGTTTATCTTAAAAAATTCACAAAAAATCATTAAAAAAATAAGAAAAATATACTGAAAGTGACATTATCTTCGACTATGATACTCGAAAATCAAAATTTTAATTTGAGAAATTTGAATGAATAATTGGAGGAAGAGTTGTAGTGATGAAGATTAGTGATCTTCAACTTAGTGTTATTGTTAGCATGGAAGCAACTTGGCTTTCTGAAATTATTTGAATTTTATATAAGTCAAAGTTATAATTTAAAACATAAAAGATGGAGAAAAAAAATGTTGCAAGGATTTCATAGGATTTGTTGGTGTATTTTTTTGATTTATTATGACTTTTTTGAAGTTAAAGCATTCATAAAAGCACTAATGAAGACAAAGTCAAAACATAAAAATAATATTATGAAGCTTTAGTGAATAGTAAATGAAGCGATGTTGAAGCTCTAGCAAATCCTTTTGAAGCGTTTACGAAATTTTGGTGGCAAACAAGTATTGATGTAGCATTGCAATTATGACTTGAATCATTTCTCTATTATTTGTAAGATTTATAAAAATATACGCAAAATTACTATAAGTTCCTGGGAACAACTCTTCATATTTGAATTGTCAAGGGAACCAAAGCTTTACACAAGGGCTTGCAAAAATTAAATGAACATAATAAAAATAAAACCAAGCTGCTAAAATTCCAATATTAAACCCCAAAAAAAAAGAAAAAAGAAGAAGAAGTCACAATTTAACATTTAGAGGAATACTCACCAAAAAATGCAGAAGTACCAAATGTGTTTAAGCAATTTCTTTTTCATTTTATTTTTTTCTATATTTGATTACTTTCACAACAATCACGAAATCAATCCTTGTCCAATCGCAAAGGCAACCAAAGCTTTAAACCAAGGCTGCACAAATTAAATAAACACATTACAAATCAAACTAAGCTCCTAAAATTTCCAAATTAAATAGCCAAAATTGAAATAAGCTACACATATTGAATATACCTGTTTTCAAAATTCCCTTGTGCTTTAGCTTAGCTCTAGTTGTGAGAGGTGGAAATGGGATAATGGTTGCCCTTGTTTTGAATAAAGGGGGAGGAAGAGGGGTGAGAAACATGAGAAAAAAAAAGATGAAGTGAAGTTACCCAATATACCACTTGAAATGACACATAAATGACCCATTATCCCCATAGACAGCTTGAAATATGCAACAAACATGATACACAATGATGTCAAGATAGAGAAATGTTTCCCACATAAGAGGTGTTTTCTCAAGGTCCTGAATTTTAAACATAATTGGAAGGGACATTGACATTCAAAAGTACATTTAATAGAGATGTTGCATATGTGTCGTATGGTGCATAACCATATCCATGATGATACATAAAATGATCCATTATCCCCATAGACAAGCTGAATTATGCAATGAGCATGGCACACAACGATGCCAGGATAGAAAATGTTTCTCACATAGGAGGAGGTTTATCAAAGTCCTGAATTTTAAACCAAATTGGAAGGGGCATTAAAAAATACTTACAAAGAACAAAGTTGACATTCAAAAGTAAATTCAACAGAGATGTTGCATATGTGTCGTAGGGTGCATGATGATACATAAATTGGCCACTCCGAACAAGCATGTGTGGCACCACACATGCGTAATGCTCTATTTTTGGATAAATTCCATACAAGCTCTGCACCTGGTTAAAATTTTTAGCCCCTCCTTAAACAACCTAGCATGGCTATATGCAAATAGAAGTCCACTAAAAGTAAAGCGATCAGGCTTCTGCCCCAAACTTACCATTTCTCCAAATAGCTCTAAAGCTCTTCCTGAAAAGTTTGATGAACTTTAAGCATCTAGTGGATCCTCCAATAAGGATTCTTGTTTGACTTGCTTGAGAAAGAATGGGAAAATTGTGAAAACAAAAACTAAGAGAAGTGAGGAAGTCTACAAGCATAGAATGTGCAGAAAGAATCACAAAATAATAATAAAAAAGCCTTATCTTTGTGCAACACCAACATACCATCTAACAATCAAAGATTGAATAAACTCATAGCAATCATCTGAATAGTTCTAAATGCCCATTTCATAATAGAATTTTCACTTTTTTGAGAGCCCAATTACTAGTAAAAACATCAAAATCTGACTACAAGCTAAAACTCACCAACAAGAGCAAGACTGTGGTAAGCACAAGCGGCACAATAACCCAAAAGCGATTAAGGTAGAAAAGACTGTGTAGATATGAACCCCCAAATCCACCATGAACACCATTGATTTGTAAGGATCCCATTAAAAGTCCTAAATGGATTAAATAAATTTCAGCAGATCTATAGCCTAAACTATAAATACATCATTCACCCATTTTAGCCCTAGAAGTTTCTAGGTTGACAAAAACATGTTAAGATTTAAGGATGATGACAATTAAATAAAAGAGCTTGATAATAAGAGATAGATGAACTTGCTGAAGACGACGTCGTAGGAAGTGGGAAAATGGATGTGACCATAGAGGTAGTCAGAACTGCTGGAGGAGGGTGACGAAGATGATTAGGACTTTGCAAACGAGCACTTTGTCTCTGAGACCGTTGTTTACGATGGCTTTGAGAATTCCAAAGCTAGAGTTGTATTTGTACTCGGGCAAAGAGGGAAGAAGAAAGGGGAGTAAGAGAGAAAGGGGGTTTTATTTGTAGGTCTGCATAAAAATGCAAGAGATACCGAAAGAGAAATTGAGAGAGCATGACAAAGATGCAGATCCAGATGAGGGAAACTGAGAGGGCAGAGAAAGAGAGAGTGAGTTCAAGGAGAAAGGTATCGATTATGACCATGGTCTAAAATATCGATGATATCGGCAATATCGGTAGTCCAAAAACATGGAAATTTTGATGGAAATATTGGGATATTATCGATATCGATAAAAATTGAATAAAAATTAGGAAATTGTAAGAAAAACTTGGAAAGTTTTATTGAAACTTTGGAGAATGTTTATTTAGTAAATTATCTATTAGTTTATAATAAAAAATTAGAAGGAAATGCATTACATGATGTATTTAACTGATTTAAGTTGATTATACAGCGAGCTGGCAAACACTGTAAGTGTAGAAAATATGTAGTAATTAATGAAAAAAAAGATTAAACACACCATAATAATTTATATATAATGATTTACTACAATATTTTACACTTTATACATTGCGTGGTAAGTATATGAGTGGCTTAGTACCACATAGAGTTCCTATGAGGTTCAAATGTTTTACTATCTTCATCATCTCTATGTGTCGAGTAAGTGTATTGTGAAGAGTATTCATCAAATGATAAATCCCCAAAATATTTTGCATGTAATTGTTAACATGCCACCCATATAAATATAAATATTTTAGCATATTATCACTAAAACATAAGTGATATATGGTGGTTAAGGTGTTGGAGGAGTAAAATGGGAGGGGGTTCAAATCCCCTTTGTGTTTTTTTTCCTCCTTTTTTTCCTTTTTTTTTCTTCTTCTTTTTCCTTTTTTTTTCCTTTATATCGATATTTTTGATATTTTAGCAATATTACACCGATATTTTGGCAAAATATTGCTGAAGTGTGAGCGAAATTATCCACATCGATATTTTTCGATATTATCGTCGATATTGTTGATACTTATACGATATATACATGGATATGTTCCGAAATATCCGTGATTCGAAAAAATCGAAATATCCTCGATATTTCGTCAATATTATCGATATTTTAGACTATTATTATGACCAGGGAATATAGGAGATGGTATTGAGAGGGGAATCTGGGAAACAGAAACTCTAAAAAGAAAGGTGCGATTAGAAGGAAGAAAGGCGGGATTGGAAAACGCGCGCCAGGACACGAGGCTAAGGGAAAGTGCAGCGTACTCGTTTGTATTGTAAGTTTGCTTTTTCTCTTCAGCCATTCAAATAATTTGGATGGCTGTGATTGATTCTCATATAAGGTTCTCACATAAGTGTTCTCACCTGATCCATTATGCAGCTTCTTTAATAGTTGGACTATTGGAGTTGGGTTTGGATAATGAGTAGTGAGGCTTAATAATGTATAATAAAAAATAATAATAAAAGCATTGTTTATACTCACACCTGTCCGGTTTGATTTTCTAGATTTTTCAAATCTTAAACCGAATTCATGAACCGATTTGGTTTGATTCTTGAGCCTAGGTTGACTCAAAGCGGTTTATTATTATTTTTTCAACTCGGTTCGATTTGATTCATTGATTCACCGATTCAAATGACCACCCATAAAGTGCTAATTTTTCTAACCTTTGGCAATAATCGGTAAGAAACATTTGAAATTCGTGCGTCATTCATGGAGTATGCTTTGATTGTTTGAATAAAAATATTCACTGTTGGAATAAAAAAAAACCCCCTATGGCCATACACTACTACAAAAAAGGATAAAGACGACGGGAATTCACCGTCGTGTATTCGGTTTCAAACCGTCGTGGAATCGACCGACATCTATTTGGGTGTCAAACCACGACGCTAAATCACTGTCGTTGTTAAAACAAACAACGTCATTAACAAATAATAACCGACGTCTTTGTAATGGAAAAAGAGATAAAAAAACAGTCGAGGATGAGAATAGACGATCAATTCTAACAAAAAACGTCGTTAAAAAGGAAACATATGACATATATTAACAGAACATGGCCGCAAGATATACATACAACGACGAGAACTAAAACCCAGCGCCGTTAAATATACCTTTCATGAAAAATAAAAATATGACGTCTTTAAATACATAATCGACGACGTTATTGACTCCTACTACGTCAGTATATTTTCAACAACCGTCGTGAAATGAGTTTTCCACTTCGATTTTTCTATTAATGATGACGTGGAAATAGATGTTAGGGTTATTACTTACGACGCATATATTTAAACTGACGACGTTGTACTAATAAACAACGTCGGTTACAAATAATTGAGAGCCGTATTACAGAATTTATACGTCATCTCTTAAAATATAATCGTCGTCTAATGGATATGACAAGGCAAGGTTTCTCAGTTCACCGCTGTGTAAAATAGTTTTAACGACACGATCTTAAAATAAACGACGTGGAAAATATGTTGGGGTCATTACTTACGACATATTAATTTATAAAGACGACGTTGTCGTCAATATACAACGTCGTTATCATGCAAAAGACAGTCGTGTTTCATAATATATACGTCATCATTAAAAAAATTACCGTCGTCTAATTCCTATTAGACGGCGTTGTTAATTCGATATTAGCCGTGTAAAGAAATTTTAACGACATTATTATAAGAAAAGAGACGTGGATACATTCATATAACGTTGTTTTTGTAAAGGAACGACGTCCAAATATATCTTAACGTCGACAAATTTACTATTGGATTTAAAATACCGTCGTGAATTCATCCTTTTCCACTTCGTTTATGAAATAACATGCGATGTGGTAAAGTTAAGACGACGTCCTCTTTTGTAACGTTCAGGTTAGATATCTCGTCTTTTAGACATCGGTATTATGGGATTGGAGTCGTGTTATTTGGAATTACATGGCGGTTCTTTATGCTTCTCCGACGTGATATTCTTAATAACTGTTTCACAATAGCGTCGTGGTTCTTCTTTGTTCCGTTGCTTTAAGACGTCGGTAAATATATTGCGGTCGTTGAATGCTCCAAAACGTCGTTTTTTATTAGAACAGACGTTTGTTTTTCACATTTTTATCAAGACCGTCGTGTTTGTAATCTTGAACCAGTATTTTTTGTACTGATTGTTTTGTGGCCAAAACCTGTATAATGAAAGTGAAGAAATCACATTACAATATATTACAAAATTAATGTCATACACTGCCAATTACATAAGCATCATTCAATCCATATATCTTCACACCCATCTCGAATATTTTGACTCCCAAACTCACCCACTAGTTCATCAAATGTGTCAACATTTGGCATCCCTCTAGTAAATGGCTCACTCACTCACATTCTCACATCACCATCATCACATCATCATTATATTCTCTATTAGGCATTGATAACACTACCGACCAACCACGATGCATCGGGTCGTCAACAAAAAATACTTGTTTGACTTGAGAAGCCAAAACAAATTGGTCATTCCTATGTCCAATTTTACTCAAATCTACAAAGGTAAATCCAAGTTCGTCGACTACAAGACCAGAAGTACTATCTATCCAATCACACCTAAAGACTGGGATTGTAAACTTTTGGTAGTCAAGGTCCCAAATTTCTTGAATGAAACCATAGAAACCCATATTTGAGAGAATTGGGTTTTTATCCTTGGCACTAGCAACTTGCATGGTATGTGCAAGTAAATAAACTCCACTATTTTGAGTTGTCCGCCCATCATCTTGTGCCTTGATGTTAAATTTAATACCTTTAATAAGATAGCTCCTATATGATGGCACTGCCATGTTTGGACCAGCTGCTAGCCACCTTAAATTTTCTGATACGCCATGATTGTCTTCCTCATTAAGTTCACTTTGAACCTGCAAATTAATCATATCTTAATTCAATCTAACATAGAAAGAAGAAAATTAAAAGTCCAATATGTTATTCAATAACATATACCTTGAAGCGTAGCCATTGAATGAAAGTGCTATTGTGCTTATCCTGCAGCCACTTTGTTCTCTTTCTAAATTTTGGATAAGCGATCTTGATGTGGATCATATGTTGCCTACATGACACGAAAAATTCAAGAATTACGGTCCCAAACATATAAGATAAACATAAGAAATAATTTAAAATGGAAACTTAAAGAATAAAACTCATACGTACTCGATATAAGGTAGGACTTCCTCCGTATTCTCCAAGACATATAGATGTGCTTGGTTCAACAGGTCCCGATCAACTACGCTCATTGTGCAACCTGATAATGACTTTGAAACTCTCATCTTTTGGCTTGAAGGCACTCCAACTGTACTAACATCAGATAAATGCTCGGTACAAAACTCTACAGCTTCTTCAGCTATATACCACTCAACAATGCAACCTTCGGGACGAGTACGATTATGAACATACCCCTTTAGCACTTTCATATATCTTTCAAACGGATACATCCATCTAAAATATACTGGCCCACATAGACGAACTTCTCTGACAAGATGTACTACTAGATGAACCATGATATCAAAGAATGAAGGGGGAAAGTACTTCTCAACCAAACACAAAGTAACTACTACATCTTCTTCCAACTTATCTAGCTTGAAAACATCAACAGTCTTTGCACATATAGCATTGAAGAAGAAGCACAAACGAGTTATTGCATACCTTGCAGGCTTCTCCAAAACAGAACGAATTGCCACAGGGAGCAATTGTTGCATTAAGGTATGACAATCATGTGATTTAAGGCCAAGAAGTCTTGAATCTTGTAAAGATACAAGATTTTTTATATTTGAAGAATAACCTTCAGGGACCTTCATACCATAGAAAGAATTGCAAACCTCTCTTTTCTCTGCTCTTGACAAATTCCAAGGCCCGGGAGGCAAACGAGTACGTCTTTCTTCATACTCGGGTTGCAAATCAGTTTTGACCCCCATGTTCAATAAATCTAATCGAGCAGCAATCCCATCTTTATTTTTTCCAGGGATCTCCAGCAATGTACCAATGATACTATCGCAAACATTCTTCTCAATGTGCATAACATCTAGGACATGCCTCACAGGAAGGTATTTCCAATACTCGAGATCAAAGAATATTGATTTCTTCTTCCAACAAACTCTGTCACCATCTTTAACCATATGCAACACTTCTTCTCCGGTTAATGGCTCGGGAGGCGTGCCATATTCAGGTTTCCCATTAAAAGCTGCACGTTGCCTCCTATATGGATGATTGATTGGTAACCATTTTCTATGCCCAATGTAACAAAATTTGTGGCCATTTTTCAACCTGTGACTAGGTGTATCATCGCCGCATATTGGACAAGCTTTATATCCTTTAACAACACAACCAGATAAGTTTCCATAGGCGGGGAAATCATTAATTGTCCACATTAATGCAGCTTTGAGTGTAAAGTATTCTCCATTATGTGCATCATACACTCCTCTAATCCCATCCCACAAAGATTTTAAATTATCAATCAAAGGCTCCAAGTAGACGTCTATATCATTTTCGGGTTGTTTAGGACTGGAAATCAATAAGGTCAATATCATGAACTTTCGTTTCATGCACAGCCATGGGGGGAGATTATATGTAACTAAGATAACTGGCCAGCAACTATATCTGCTACTTAGAGAACTGTGGGGATTGAATCCATCAGATGAAAGAGCCAATCTCAAGTTTCTCGGCTCATTACCAAACTCGGGTCATTTATCATCAAGAAGTTTCCAAGATGGGGAATCCGCCGGATGAGACATCTGACCGTCAATTGATTTTCTAGTAGCATGCCAAGTCAAACTCTTAGTTGTCTCATGTGATCAAAACCTCCTTTTAAACCTTGGAATTGGAGGAAAATACCACACCACCTTCGCTGGCACACCCTCTTTCAAGATTGAATCTTTGCCTTCCTTCCACCTTGAGATACCACAAGTAGGACAATTAGTTGAATCTTCATACTCCTTCCTATACAAGATGCAATCATTGGGGCATGCGTGCATTTTCTCATAACTCAGCCCCAATGCACACAAAGTCTTTTTTGCCTCATACATAGAGGCCGGTATTGTATTTCCTTCTGGAAGCAAATCGCCTTGAAGTATCAATAATTCTGTAAAACAAACATCACTCATCCCATGTTTTGCCTTCAAATTATACAACTTCACTAATGCTGATAACTTCGTGTACTTTCTACAACCAGGGTACAATGGTTGATCTCCATCCCCAATCACATTGGCAAACTCATAAGGATCGATCCAAAATCACCAAAATCATTATCATCCATCTCTATTTCTTCAGACACAAAACTGTACCTACTATGGTCATCATCTTCTTCAACATTTCTACTAGCATTAGTAGTTGCTTCCCAAGGTTCTCCGTGAAATGTCCAATTCTTATAGCTTTGGTCAACTTCATTAAAGTATAAGTGATCCCTTATAATTCCAACCCCAAACAATTTCAAATTAACACATTTAACACATGGACAACGGATATGTGTTGTAGTTAGAAGATTTTCTACAGAAAAGTTCAAAAATGCTTCCACCCCTAACTCATATGCCTTCGATCTTCTATCCCAGTGCATCCATGACTTATCCATCTCCGACACTATACCCTATTATCTATAATAAAGTGAAAAGACAAGCAATGACCATCACTATAGCAGATTATATAAAGTTTTAATAGCAAGTAATATACTACACAGACGACGGTTTTTAAACAAAACAGACGTATTTGACATATATAGACGACGGTTTATCAACAAACGTCGTCTAATTATAACCACGACGGTAGATAAAGAACACCGTCGTGTATAAGTAATACAGACGACGGTTTATTAAAAAACCGTCGTCGTATGCCTAAAAAGGCGTCGATATCCCAGTTTATTTTCAAGAACCCAAAAACCTATTAAGAACACAACATATACATTAATTTTTATGTTGGGTATTAAGCATGAAACCAAGCATGAAACAACATATACTAAGCATGAAAACAATAAATCCATTCCCGATTCAACATAACAGAGAGTGATTAAAAGATCCAACAAAATTAAATCCATTCCCTATTCAACATAACAGAGAGTGATCATGAAAACATTAAACAGAAAATCCATGAACCCATACCTCCAACAACATTACTAAAAGATCGCACAACATATATCTAAAACCCTTTAACAAAACAACCTAATATCATTCAATGAATTTACAAGGGGAAAATAAAGGTTTGTACTTACAGGTTGGCAGAGCTCACAGATTATGGCCTACTTGGATTCGACGGAGCCTGGAGAGCCCAACTTTGAATTAGAGATTAAGGGAGAGAGCGAAATGTTATGTTGCCCAAAATCTGAAAATTTTAGGGTTCAGGATTACAAGTATAAGACTTAGAGCGAAATCTGAAAATTTTAGGTCACGCGAATTTTTTTTGGAAAGCGCGCTCTTTAAAACATCGACGAAAAAAACAATCAAAGTCGTCAAAACTAAGAGAAACCATGGCAAAAGTTTTACCAAAACCGACGTAAATTCATTATTCCACGACTCAAACACTGAACTCAACGCCGTTTATTTTAAAGAAACCACGTCATCTGTTGAACCAATAGCGTCGTTTGAATAACCTTTTACGTTTTTTTTTAAATCGATGACGTTGTTATTCATGTACAACGTCATTTTAAAGGAACATAAACACCGTTGTCAAAAAAGTAAACATCGACTGAAAACCTAAATACCGTCGTTAAAAAATAATACCCTAAACTCTAAACCCTAAATTATATATTTCTAAAATATAATTTTATAAAAGGGTTTATGGTTTTACAGCCTAATATATAATGTCTTTTAAACCGTAAACCCCAAAAATTATCCTTTAATCCTAAACTCTAATAAATAACAACCCTAAACCATCAAACTACAAGTGAATTTTTTTAAGGTTTAGGGGGAAGAAAATATATCAATGACTTCATAGGAGTTGACGTTTCATTTTTTGGATTTATTTTATATTTATTTTGAATATTTTGAATTAAAATAATAAAATATTCTTATATCAACTACAAACCACGTCAGGGTTAATAAATTAAAGACGTTGTAAATCATAATAAACGACTCACTTGTAAAAAGGACGTCGTTTAAAAGAGAAATCATGACGGATGTTTCACCATCCGACGTAAACTCAATATTGCACGACTCAATCACCGTCGTTAAAAAGTAATACTCTAAACCCTAACCCCTAAACCCTAAATTATATATTTTTAAAATATAATTTTATAAAAGGGTTTATGGTTTTACAGCCTAATATATAACAAACATAAACCGTAAACCCCAAAAATTATCCTTTAATCCTAAACCCGAATAAATAACAACCCTAAACCCTAAACCATCAAACTATAAGTGATGTTATGACTCATCAAAACAATTTATTTTTGGGTGGTCATTTTAAATTTGTATTACTCAAACTGAATTTTTTTAAGGTTTAGGGGGAAGAAAATATATCAATGACTTCATAGGAGTTGGCGTTGCATTTTTTTTGATCTATTTTATATTTATTATGAATATTTTGAATGAAATAGAATAAAATATTCCAACAAACACAACAAACCACGTCCACTTTAAGAAAGTAACAACGTTTGTAAATATAATAAACGACTTACTTGTTGAAAGGACGTCGTTTAAAAGCGAAACCATGGCGAAATTTTCACTAAAACGACGTCCTATCGACGTACAAACGTTATATCACGACTTAAACAAAAAAGGTGTCGCCGTGTAATTTAATTACCACGTCATACATGTGGTCTAAATATCCTTTTACGTCGGTTTTGTTTCAAACTGTTTACACGTTGGTTTTGTTTTTTTTTTTTTTTAAATTAAGAAAACCTCAACAAATTTTCAGGGAAAAAACGGATGTATATTATAGACAAAATTTGTACATTATATATTATAGACAAAATTTGTACATTATATAAAAATATCAAGTGTTCTAAAAATCCTCTAGTCCACATGAAGGCAAACAAACTCTGCCCATTCATTCCTGACTTCATCAATGGCTGCTTGGGGGTATGGCGCTTGCTCTTTTCCCTTGGCAAACTGCAATCTATAAACAATGATTATTAAGCTTTATAAATAAAAAGAAATTCAATCACAGACGACGCTATTTTCATAACCGACGTAGTATATCGATTCAACGACGGTAATTTTAAAGGACCGTCGTTGATAATACAAAAAACCACATAAAATGTATCTGAAAATTTTCTTCTTACCGTCTTCTCAAACTCCAGGGAAGGATCCATGATGATGTCTCTCATGAAGCGCATGACATAATACCCGCATTCGACACTGCTGGGTTGCTTTGGTGTGCCTGGCAGAGTTTTCCAAATGGGTGCTTTACGGCCTTGTTTGCCTATGTGGGAATTATAAATTTTTATAGCACTGTTCACCATGTTTTTGGCCTCCTTATTAACCACACGATTTCCGGGCAGAGGATCCAGAAAATAGGCGGTTTCCTTCTTTGCTCTCACAATTAGCAAGACCCAATGATGGCTGCACAAAATTAATATAAAACAAAGATATATAAAAAAGTCAGCACAAGAAAACAAACGACGGTTATTTATAAAAACGACGTATTATATAGTTTCACACGACGAAATAACGTAGCAATCAACGTCATTATAAATTTATCACGACGGTAATTAACTAACGACGTGGTTAGTCATTTCAAACGACTCAATAAATAAAGAACCGACGTGATTAGATGTTTCAAATGGCACAAAATTAGTTAAACAGTTTTATACGCAGTGCATCATACAAACAAAATCCTGTTAAGGAGACTAACCCTGGATTGTAAGGCATCATGAAAATCTGTTCACCATCTGTCTTCTGAAGTCGACTGGCTACAATTCGTGATTTGTCAGTTAGTGACCCAGTGTTGGCACTAACTTGAGCAGGGTCGATAAAGCCAACCATGTTGAACATATTTGCTACTTTCAAATGATCATATAAGCACCTAAATATATAAAACAAAGATATATAAAAAAGTCAGCACAAAAAACACACGAGGGTTATTTATAAAAAAAACGACGTATTATACAATTTCACACGACGAAATGAAATAGAAATCGACGTTATAATTAATTTATAACGACGGTACATAACTAACGACGTGGTTAGTAGTTTCAAACGACGCAATAAATAAACCACCGACGTCTTATGCTATAATGATTTTTTTTTTCAACACAAATTTGAGTGTGAAATAAATATTTGATAAGGACAAACCTCATATATACTGCAAGCACAATAGCCCCAATTTCTTCCATGCCTGCTAACTGTGTAATATCTTCAGGCAAGACAAAGGTACTGCGATCTGCACCAAACACCTCCTTCTCAATTGTAAAGGTCATGATCTTCTCCTGAGGCTTTAGTGTGGTTTCCACATAACGACAAAGGGATTGTAAGGAAGATGGCACCTCCACCTTTGAATAATCAACTACTTCAATACCCTGTTTAAAGAAATAAAGCAAAATAAAATGACGTGGTAATTCAATAAACACAACGGTTTAAAGAAAACAACGTCGTCTGATAATAATTTAAACGACGGTAACAAAACACCGTCGTGTTGAATAATTTATTACATCATAAGAAACAAATTCCGACGTCTAATTTGAAAACAAACGACGGTTTAAAGAAACTATCGACGCCTGAAATTTGAAAAACAAATAAAAAAGGCGAAGTTATGAGAATATACCTTTTCATCATGCTTTTCTTCATCTTCTTTTTTTCTTTCTTCTCTTCATCTTCTTTTTCTTCTTTCTTCTCTTCATCTTCTTTTTCTTCTTTCTTCTCTTCATCTTTTTTTTTCTTCTTATTTTCTTAATCTTTTTTTCTTCTTTATTCTCTTCATCTTTTTTTCTTCTTTCTTCTCTTCATCTTGATTTTCTAAATCCCCAGATTTCTGTTTTAAGTAAAAAAGAAATATATATATAAGACAGATTGTACAAAAAGTAAAAAAATTAAATCAAAACATCGTGGTAAGGCATAACTTAAGACGGTATGTAAAAATTATGGACGTCTTAAAATTATTAAACGATGGTAAATAATAAACGTTGTGGGGATTCATATATTACGTCGGTAAGGACTAAAACCGTCGTCTAAATCACCACAAAAGTTTTCAAAAATAACGACGTCTAATGGCGTGTAAAACAAGTAAACTAAATACGACGTTGTATTGAAATACAAACGACGGTTTATTAATAAATCGTCGTGGTATGTATTTCAAACAACGGTTTGCTTCATAATACGACGTCTAATAGCTCTTTTAAAAAACAGAGAATTCAAAGTTCAGATATGTTACCATTTCTTCCTGCTTTTCCCCATTTTTGGCAGTATCATCCTCAAAATGTAGGGATCTCACATCCCCAGAGCAGCTTGCTTTGTCAGACATTTGATTTTTGGGACTTTGCTCTAGACCTTGGTTTTGACAGGGGCTAGTTTTCGGTTTAAGCATGCTTGGATCAAAATTGGGGATGAGTTGGGAAAGCTGACTCAGTAAATGTTCCCTCTCAGCCTCTACCAATTGCTTGGTTCTAGCCTCCATCCTTAAAGTCTCTTCCCTTGATCTAGCTTCCATCTTCTTAGTCTCTTCTTGAAGGACAATTCTTACACTTTCCTTCAATTGATCGGCAAACTTTACCCTCTGTTGTCTAGGTAAATTGAAGTATTGCCTAAGGGAAATCCCAGCACCTACCCCTCTTACTCTCCCTGGATGCTCGGGACCCAAAGCCAAGGTCAACACATCATTACTGCCAGATACACTGAGACTGCCTTCAGCGACTTGTTTTTGCAATTTATCCTAAAACACAGACATATAAAAAAGTCAGCACAAGAAAACACACGACGGTTATTTATAAACAAACAACGTATTATATAATTTCACACGACGCAATAACATAGAAATCGACGTTATAATATATTTATAACGACGTTACTTAAAGAACGACGTGGTTATTTGTTTAAAACGACGCAATAAATAAACCACCGACGTCTTATGCTATAATTACAAAAAATAGAGTACCGATTCCAAATTCAGACTTGTAACGACGTTTTTAAAACATCTCGACGTAGTAATATATTCAAACGATGCAATAAATAAAACACCGACATCTTATGCTATAATTACAAAGACAGAGTAGCGATTCCAAATTCAGACCTGTAACGACGTTTTTTAAAACATATCGACGTAGTAATATAATTCACACGACGGTAAATATAACATAAGACGTAATAAGAATTATCAGGGCAATACAGAGTTTAATAAAAATTTAAAACAGAGTGAGTAGGCTTACAATAATTAATTTTGCTTTCTCTGCCACCTTTGGATCAGGGATGTTACCATATTTTGTCTTGTCTAGCTTTCTTCCATAAGGTAGATCGATCAATTTCTACCCCAGGCATGGTCTCCTCCAATTGATCCTCCAAACCAGCATATCCTTTTCGAGACAATCGATGATTGTACTCAAGTTTCTCCCTAATATTTGAATGTTGAGAATGCACAGACACAAATGCTTGGTAAGCCACAAAGGCATCCCATTCTGCTTTCTCTATGAATTTATATAGTTCAGGGGGTTGGCTTAATTTCTCCCTCTCCTTGATGTATGGAAGGATATAATGCCTCGTTAGTGTAGACTTGAAATCCTTCCATTTCTTGGCAGCAGAAGATAACACCAGGTTCTTGCTCCTTTATATCCTTGGGGATTTTAGCCCATTTCTTGTCCACAAGTGGGACTCTAGAGCGTGTCAACACACCAATGTAAGACTGCATCTCAGTATGTGCAGGGCCACATCCTTTTCCCATTTTATTGTACTCAACAACTGGCTTGATTTTCTGAAATTTTCTCTTCAGGACACAAGGCATTGTGCTCATACCTCGACCTGACTTTGAATCCTCATAAATTGTTGTCGTGCTGGCTGGTTCTATCTCAGCAGATGAAACAAACTTCATTTTCTTCAAGGACTTGTCTTGAGGAGTTACCATTCCAAGCTCCTTACCTCCATTTTTTTTCGAGCCAGAGTCCTTACTTTGGTCTTGAGAAACCATGGTTACAGACAAATCAAACCTGCAAGTGAAAATATTTCAGGAAAAAATTAAGAACACAAATGACGGTTATTCATAAAACACGACGTATGATAAGATTTTACACGACGCAATAACATAACATCAGACGTAATAAATGTTTAAAACGATGGTACTTAAACAACGACGAAACAATATAAAAGAAGACGTAATAAGAAGTTATTACGGTGATATTTACACTCCGTCGTGATATTTAAATTCAAAGGACGTTAATATTAATATACCGTTGTGGTATTAAATTAACACGACGTTAATAATAAGATACCGTCGTCTATATAAGATTCCAAACCCTTCTTTCTTTGTCTGTGAATGTTTGATTGCAGGTTTGATTTCTCTGAACCATGATTTTTGTTTTTCCTAATTTGATAAAATACAAAGACAAAGAAAGAAGGTTTTGGAATCTTATATAGACGACGATATCTTAGTATAACGTCGTGGTATTAACATTCACACGACGTGAATAATAAGATACCGTCGTCTATATAAGATCCCAAACCCTACTTTCTTTTTCTTTGTATTTTATCAAATTAGGAAAAACAAAAACCATGGTTCAGAGAAATCAAACCTGCAATCAAACAAGCAAATAAAAAAAGACGGTCATTTTAAAAACAACTTAGATCAATTTTCAGACGACGCTAGGACGACTGAAGAACCGTTGTGGTCTACATATTTAACCACATAAATAAGAAGCTACCGTCGTCTTATTTAGTTGAAGTAGTTGTGTTCAAAGTTGGAAACTTTCCCTCTTTGTCTGCATATTTTATCAAACTTGGAAAGAATTAAAATGATTTTGGCCAGAAAAAAGGTAAAAGGATTTTCAAAACAAAAACCGTATGAGCATGCAAAACAGCAACAAAAATAGTGAGAAATGAAAGCTTACCTTTTGCGTGCAATGAAAGCTTCCTCTCGGAGTTTGGTGTTTAAGTTCAGAGAAGACGACGAAGACGAGAGAAGACGATGAGATACACTGACAGTTCTCTGACAAGGAAAAAAGACGAAAAGTTTTCTCTCGGAGATTGAAATTTTTTATCGGGTTTGGAAACAGTGCATGTGTAAGTCAGGTAGACGAAAGTTTGAATATATACACAAACCGTTTCATAAAAATAAGACGGCGGTTTACAAAGAACGACGACGTATAAATAACAAACTACGACGATAATTTGAACTTAGGACGTGGTAAATAAATACGACAGTAGTGTTGTAGGTACCGTCGTAGTAAACTCCAAAATAAAAGTCAATAAATTAATATCTCGCGTCCTAGTACAAGGATTTAACACGTCGTTTTTTTAATATACCGATGTGGATTTTTATAATATACGACATATATTAAATAATAACCGACGTTGATTTTAAAATTAAACGGCGGTTTGTGTGTAATGACCGCCGTGGGTTTTAAAAATTTATTGTATAAATTTGTCGCTTTCTTTCAGTTTCATTTAGGGTTCCAAGTTCTTCCTCTCTCACAGACACTCTCTCTCACCTCTCAAAGACAATAATTTGGATGTCTTTCTCAAAGAGAAATGGAGCTTACTCTCCAACAAATCTATGTCCACAAGAAGAAGCTTGTCATCTAGACTTCTCACTTCCGTGATCAGGCCTGATAGGAGGCTTAGTGCTTCTGAATACTCCTTGCTTTCCATCAAAAGAGATGCAAGCCTGGCCTCCACTCGCTGTCGAAGGAAAGTTCGCTTCTTAGCACGGGTCCACTGCGCCATTTCTTTGCAAAGGGAAATCTGAAGATCAGATGTGCTTGATCCTCTGCTCGATTTTCTTGGCTAAGAAGATCCGTCAGATTTGTGATAGCCTGTTCCTTTATCCGTAGAGCTTCAGAAGAAGAAGATGGGTTTTCAAGAATGCGATAAAGAATAGAAATGGCTTCAGATGGCCTCTAAAGCCTGAGCAATCGAATTTGTAAAGACATTGTCAATGCTTTGAACTATCCAAGTCCTGTAGAAAGAGAACAGACCAAACTATTAAAATTGAAACAACGACGGTTTTTTGTTCTACCGTCGTCTTTTTTGTCGTCGTAGTATATTAAAGTAAGATGGCGGTAAGTTTATAATTACCGACGTAGTTTATTGTTGTTAAACGTTGTTAAGTGTAATATAATCGACATGGATTTTATTTTTTAATTATAAATAGAGTTTTTTTTCCCGAGTTCTTTTAGTTTTAGTTTTCAATTACAGTGCGTTATAAATAGAGTTTTTTTTTCCCGAGGAAATTTAAAATGACGGAAATTAATGTTCTAGAATTTGTAAAGTTTCTTGTTTGGGAGACTGATTTAAATCAAATACGAAAAAAAACAACGTTGGTTTTTTGTTCTACCGTCGTCTTTTTTCACTAAGACGAGGAAATATTTGTTTAGCGACGTGGATTCGTTTTGTTAAACGTCGTTAGGTGTAATTTAACCGACATGGATTCGTTTTGTTAAACATCGTTAGGTGTAATTTAACCAACGTGGATTTGATTTTTTATTTATAAATAGAGTTTTTTTTCCACGAGTTCTTTCAGTTTTAGTTTTCAATTAGGGTTTCACCCTCTTCTTGCCCTTTTCTCTGTCTCACCTCACCTCTTAGGAGGCAATTGTTTGGATGTTGGTGTGTGTGTATGTTTTGTGTATCTGATTCGCAAACATACACACATCACCAATTTTCAAAAAATTGTCTATCTGATTGCAAATCTGTGGCTGCCGTCGTGAAATTTTAGGAGGCAATTGTTTTGATGTTGATGTGTGTGTGCGTTTGTGTAGATACACAAACGCACACACATCATCAACTTCCAAAAAATTGTCTCTCTGATTGCAAATCTGAGGCTGCCGTCGTCAAATTTCAAAAGCAATTTTTTGGATGTTAATGTGTATGTGCGTTTGTGTATCTCAAAGATACAAATACACATACATCATTAACCTCTAAAATATTGTCTTTCTGGTAAGATTATGATGAAGGACAGAGTTCCATATGGTAAGAAAAATCTGATTATGTCGGCGGTTTTCTATATAAACCGTCGTGGTTATTTCAATTCTTGTCATTAAGTTGATCTACCGACATAGGATAACAAAATCCAAGAAATAAATTGTTTAAAAAAATTCTTATTAAGACGACGGTTTTAAATATAAGGTATGACGTATAAAGTGAATAAATACGACGTTAAATTTTATAATACCTCGTTAAATGAAAAACCCCAACGTGGTGAGAGTTAAAGATATCGTCGTAGAACTATATGAGAAAGACATCGATATATTTATCTTTGCCGTAGTTGTACATTAATTTAATACAGGGGTATTTTGTATTATACCGCCGTGGATTTATTTGTAATTATATAGCTCCTTATACGAAAACTTGGTCGTGTTAATTTCTGAGTAAAAACGGCGGCTTTTTTTGACATTGTCGTCTTTACTTTCTACATCGGTCTATTCATAACTTTTGCTGTTCTTTGTTGGCTTAGATTTTACTCTGCGGAAATCCAATTTCAATAAGACGTCGGTTTTTTAATTAGGTGCGTCTTTTAGGAACAACCATTGGAATTTCCATTTTTTAGGTGTCTAAGGTGTTATTACATGGTGGTTTTATAGAACCGTCGTCTTTAAAAAAACGACGACGGTTTTCCCTTAGACCGTCGTTTTTTTCTGGTCGTCTTTGTCACTTTTTGTAGTAGTGATAATATGTGTTTCCCTGAGCTTTGTCTCACTCCAGGGGCTTTCTGCCCTTTCCTTTTCTTTTTTTTTCTTTCTTTCTTCTGCTTTCATCTAGCCCTGGGTTTTACAGAAATCTCTAACCCTAACATTGGTTTTTCCTCCTCTTTTGCCCTATGGTTCTCATCCTTCCAATCCCCATAATTTTCATGACATGATATAGTTATTCTTTTGGCATATCTCATAAAAACAATGTATATAATTTAAATATCACCAATATACATATAATCATACCAACACGAATTAAATAATTAACAACACGTAAACACCCAATATCAAGAACATTATAATATCAAGAACATCCATCAAATTATAATATCATGCATAATATAGTGCTCACGAAATTTAATTAAATCAATCCCAGTAAAGGCCCCCAAGAAACCCCCTACCTTGACACCAAAACTTTTACTAGAAATGTAAGGTGTTTCCCAATTTTTCACCGCATTCACAAACTCAATCTCCCACTCTTTTTCTTACTTCTCTATACCACTATTTCTCTTTCACTTTTTTTGTTCATTTGCTGTGCAACTATTGACCTATATATACAAGGAATAAGTCGGCAATAATTCATTTCCTATTGGATGGTGTATTGTCGGTTTGTATGCTTATTATCCAAGTAATATATATAGTTATTAATGTAGTCTTGCAGATAAGGAAGAATGTCTTATGTTGTGAGTCTTCCAATTCCTCCAATCCTATTCTATTCTTCTTGGTGAGTTGACAAAACTAGTAATCATAGCCTTGCTACTTAACATGTTTTTTTTCTTTAACACGTAACCACATTAACAAGAACTATTTTACTAATACATATACATATATATATATATTTAATAGAATAAGATATATATGTAATACACATATATACACACATATATAGTGATATCAGAGCCTAAAGTTCCTAGAAGAGTTGTTAGTTTGAAGGTTTTCTGTCAAGTTTTCTTTACTCACTAGTCATCGAGTTATCTAGCTATCAGATAGGCTCGTTGGCCGTTGCTGGAAAGGCATAAGGCGTTGAAGAGAACTAGGCATGGACTTACATTATTCCATTCTCTACTCCTCTCCTTCCTCCCTCGTTCCAACCTTAATCCAAGTTTGCAGCTATTCATCCTAAACACGCGTGTTCGCGCGCATCTCTCTTGGAAGATGTATAGAGTTTCGACTCGGGTGCTCGCACCAGATCCTTCCATGATTTGGTTCTTGTTGGTTCAGCTGGTTATGGGCTTGTTTTGTCCTTTGGTTTTGTCTGATGTGTGGTTGTTGTTCCCTTGGTGCG